CTCCAAGTCTCGACCGGGCGCTGATTGGAAAGGAAATAGGCCAGTCGTGCTTTAATCCATCTATGTCCCACTAACACAAGCTTTAACATTACAATTGTTTTTTTACAAGAGATCAATTCAGAAAAAGTAAATTTAATTATACATGCTCATAATTTAAAATATGTACATTCACAAAATTTGACACGTAGGGAAGGCGTTTCTGTGATAGTGGTTATTGGCATTACTGTGAGTTTTGTAGTTCAGGTTCTGGTGTATTCCTCATTTTTGGTCTCGACTTTGGACCCCAATTCTTTTCAGGATTAATTTGGTATCTATCAAGAAAAAAAAGGTTGTAGTGAATGGAATGAATGTTTCTAGTAAAAAGTAGCTTAGATTATATTGAAGCATATAACTTATTTACGATGTAGGCAGTTGAACACTTTCTCGGTGCCTCTAATGTACACCTATTAATTTACCAGCTTCAGTAGGGCCAAGTTTATTGATAATAACTGAAGTTTGCTTTGACCGCACATACAAAATTGCGTTTTAGCATGGACTTACAAGAATGAGGTCATAGTTTCTAGATGTGCAGTCATGCATTCGCTCAACAAACTATCGTACTGATTTCATAGGATTGTAGGCTTAGTGGTTCACTGTGTAATCATTAGTTCGGAAGTTCGGGTCCTGTTTTTTATACTTCATTCTAGACATTACTGACTCATAGCTGAGTACGTAAACATGTATTTGACGGATGAATTTTATGCTCACAGGATGTCATAATCCTCTGACTGGTTCATTTCCAACTTGTTTAAAGGGTAGAAGTGTTCACCCATGAGATAAAGCCTGCAATCAACAACTGCTAGGTGAACAGCCTATCTCAACATATTAATGAATTGTTGTCTGCATTCCTGTATGTTGCTGTACCTTGAAATGGTGGTCACATCTGCCTCTCATGACAGTAATGCTGTCGTCTGACTGCATGAGACAATAAGAACATACGGTGCATTTCTACATACGCTTTTTTTGACTGCAGCCCAGATGAGTTTTGTAGAAAGTTTTCGGACCTTATTATGAAGGTTAAACGCTTAGGTGCATCAATAATGTCAGGTGATTTTAATGCCCAAGTAACTAGTTGCAACCAAACCGAAAGAACTTGGGTAGATTCCACGATATCAGGGCTCAACCGACAGATATTGGCGACCTCTTCTTACGACTACCCTCAGATAATAAACTGTCATCAAATTTAAGCACAAGGGGATACCCATATCTAGTTACTTGTTTTTAAATAACTTTTAAGTAAAATGTTTACCGGAAACAAAAATTAGTGGCTATTCCTTATCAAAAAAATTTATAAAAACGTGCTTCAATTACCGAATTAGGCCATCACTTTTGGATGGAGGACATGCAAGTGGATGACGAGTGAACGACACTGATGGGTTAATTGGTCTGGCCAGTAAATTGGTGCGTACTATTTGACGACTTGAAGTATCATTCTTCGATTCACTATCTGTATCTTCCATGTCCGATGAGATATCCATGTTAATATTATTATTATTATCATCCACAGGCCGTTTTCTCCTAAAGTATCTTTTGCTCCGAACACTGACCACCTTTGATGCTGTGTTCATTTTTGTTTCGGGATTTTCTTCATCAGTTAATTCAAGATCGGATTTTCCTAGTTCACTCTTTATTCTATCATAATGAGATCGAAAACAGTCAAGTACAAATGAATGTGGTGCATCGGTTTTAAAAGAATTTTTATCAGCATGTGAGCAGGAAACACGATAGTTGGCATTCAGAAGACAAGAGCTAATAAATAATAAATGAATAAATAAATAAGTCACATTATTAGCGTTTCAAATTGTTTGTATCGTTTGCTTACTAATTGGTACTTCAAAAATGTGTTATTCCACCATTTAATAGACGTATATTATAGCCTAGTGTTGTGAAGCTACTATATGGCTGTGAAACATGGCCAGTGAGAGTAGAAGATATTCGTCGGTTACTGGTTTTCGATCATAGGTGTCTTCGAAGCATTGCTCGAATACCGTGGGACAACCGAGTAAGCAATGCTGTCGTTAGGAAACGAGTACTAGGCAAGGATGGCAGATCAATCGATGAAGTAATGAAACTTCATCAGTTGAGGTGGTTGGGACATGTGTTGCGTATGCCCAACCACCGACTGCCTCTTCGAGCCTTGTTTTGTAATGTAGGAATAGGTTGGAAGAAAGTTAGGGGCGGCCAAACCAAAACATGGCAGAAATCCATGAAGTCATTGACTAGTGGACTGAGCCATGTCGGTAATTGTCGACTACCTGGTTGAGGTCCGCGAGATGATAATAATCGATGGTTGGAGACCTTAAATGACATGGCTCAAAATCGTTCGCAATGGCGCCGGTGCATTTATTCTCTGTGTTCTCTCAAATGCTAATCTTCTGGATTCTTCAACCCCCCTAGTTTTGACTTTCTAAACTTTTCTCACTGAATCATACTTCTTGAATAATATCTTCTAACCCCAACCTCTCCGATTACTCCTAATACCTTTACTAACTCTTCTACTATTGGGTTTGAATTGACGATTACTTCTCTGTGCTGATGTGGTATGGCGACATGAACTGATGTACTTACGTACGAAGTTCTACGTTGCATCTGACTGACTGAGTGTTGTGAAGCTGATAACTTAGCAGAAACATGTTCTACGTCATAAGTTACTTTTGTAGGAAGGTGTGAAGTGTGCTGTTCATCATATTAGACATGCTGATATTCAGAATAAGTGATATTATTAGTGTAACGTATAGCTGTTCTAAACTAGTGAATTGAATCATTTTTTAAAATATCACTAATGCTTTAAATAAAAGCAGTTTTCGCCAAATGAGTTCTATAATTTATTTTACGATCACTTTTCCTTTGGAAAACACTTGACTATTAATTGAAATCGACATAAGACTGTACTTTCTTCATGGTGATTTCAAGTGTTTGCTGATTCTTAACAAAATGAAGAGAATCTGATATCCTGCGTCGAACCAACCAATTAAAATGCGGATCGTAAGTGAACAACCACATTATGCCGAGAAATACAGATAGATATGAGAACGAACAAAAACTTGAAAGAACTAGAAAGGGAAGCACAGGACAGAGTTGGTTGGAGGAAACTGGTGGGCGGCCTATGCTCAATTGGGGGTAACAAGGCGTAAGTAAGTGAACAACTGAACTAGTCAGAGAATCCTAATACTCTGTGAGAGGCTTTGATTTACGAATACATTTCTGGAGTTTTAAATGTTTAAATATTACAGACTAGCAGTTGTTTTTCCCATTTCACTGTTCTAACCGAGCATGTGAAGTGTGTACTAGTAGTTAAGTTAGAGCTCTAATAACATTGCTTTCTTAATGCTTCCTGAGTGTTGCAGGAATTGGCCACTTTATTTGCTTGTGCTGTATTGACCATTTTTGTGGAAATTTCAGGGAAAGCGTTTAAGAAAATCAGAATTTTCAATGACTTCGACAGTTTCCCACAGGCTCTCTACTGACGCTAAGTATAGCACTTGAAAAAAAATCATTTTTACGATTCACGTTTTAATGTATAGTGATTTCTGTCAATCAATCCTTTCCATTAGTATTGATTCACATCATACGTAGTTTGATTGTATTGATAAATTCATTTTTTACTCTGCATTCAAGTGGTATCTGCTCATTTGATCATCACTGGAATTAATCAACATGTATTGTAGCATTAAAATAGATCTATATTTATTCGTCTTTAGTCTCTTCAAATCAATCATCTTTATCGGTCCAAAATGTTACTTTAATTTAGACGAACGATTAAACTCCGCCTGTAGACCCCGCGGGGCTACTGGCGGTCCCAAGCCCGAACTGATGTACGTACGTACGAAGTTCTACGTTGTAAATGACTGACTGAAATGAAATAGATCTCCCATTTGATTTCTATATATTACTCTTAGGTGAACCCAGTTTGAGCGAAAGCGATAATGAAAAGCCAAATGCAGGCTGCTTTTTGATGAATTTATTTCGTACACTTGCGTATACAGGCAGATATAAGAATGATAGGCGAACTAAAGTAGGGAAGGCGAGTAGGGTAACTCTATTTTTGAAGAGGCATAACTAATTATTTACAATCCGACAAAAGTAAGCTATGCATGCGATGAGTGAAGTGAGCATATACAGGCTCAAATAAAAACAGTCACTGTTATGAGCAAATGATTGAAAAGGTCGGAATATGCGAGAATGGATCAGTTGGTTTGTGTCTAAAGGTTGGTACACACTAGAAATCTTTCTTAACAAGATTTGCCTTTTTAAATAGAAGAGATTGTGTACGATGTGACAGTTCTTGTACATACGTACGAAGTTCTACGTTGCAACTGACTGACTGACAGTTCTTGTTAGGATGATTATCACTATTATTCCACTTGATAAAACAAAGTTTACACTGTCATTTAGAAACGCCTTAAAATATTTGAAGGATCAGGTACATTGGGGTAGTTAAAAACTGTCACGCTCGGTTAATAAGAAAATACAAGTTCTAACATAATAAAAACACAGGGATGTTGAAGGTGGTTATCAAAATCAAGTAATTAATTCCATTTCTTAGAATCAGTTTATATTTAGTTCTACGTACAATTCATTAACTGGATGCAGGAGTCATATTTCAAAGTAGTATGTTTACATTTAAACTTGAACAAAGAATCAATTGTTTTAAATGTTAAACATTAAACAGAAAGTAGTAAGATAGAAAAAGGGTACAGGTAGCCGCCCAATGAGTTGCAGTCCACGTGATTATCATGACCCATAGTTGGACAAATTTAATGATATGGCTTAGAATAAGCCAGTATGGCATGTGCATTCTTAAGTTCTTCTTTCTGTCAGTCAGTCAGCTACAAGGTAGAACTTGGTACGTATGTACACCAGTTCTCTATGTCCAATCATTTTTGATTATCACTACTATCTCTCAATTTATCTTGATAATCGCATGTCGTGTTACCAAATTTGGACGGTGCATAATCTGTGTGAAATTGCTTCTGACTGACTGACTGACTCGCACGTTAAAGCACTATTTCACCATGGTACTAAAGAGTATTATTACCGTTTTGTAGAAGTGCCTACAGAATTTTACAGTGTTTTTTCAACTTATTTTACGTAATTTATAAATAAACTGTTTGTGGTGTTGTTCTTCACCAAACAATAATCAAGGATATTTAATAATGAGAAAGAACTGAATAGCCACCACCACCACCATCACATGACATTGGCAATTAGTAATGAATCAGTGAGGAATCAAAGGAAATAAACAAAACTAATCGGATTTATTCTCCTCTAGGCTGGCCAAAAAACACAAGTCCAGTCTGATTGATAACAGATGCTGGTCCTCTGAGGGAAACACCTTACTACTGCCACACCACTCTGCAGTCAGCAGTGCGGCTTCGCCCTCAGACCTTGAGTAGCTGCTTTTAGTCTCATATCGTACTCCAATCGACCTGCCTGGCATGATAGAACCTACAGGAACATAATAGCTCGGTTGGGTCATCACGATAGGCAAGCTGGACCACCACGTCAATGTAGCAGTTACGGTTGGGACTAGCTATTAGTGATGAATCAACGAAAACAAACAAAACTAAGCGAATATATTCTCTCCTTAAAAAACGACAAGTCTAGTTCTAGTTGATAACAGAAAAAAAAAACATTGTATCAATCAATTAAGTAATTAGAACACTTACTATAAATCTGGTTGTTTCGGTATGGTACAACCAAAAGCAGATGCTATTTGATCAGCTATGTAATATAACGGGACATCAGGAAGTTCTTCATAGGCTACAGTTGTCATACCAATAATACGTTTAAATGTGCCATAATTATTTTTTCTATTTGTTGAACTATCCGTGGCGGTTGATACTTGACTATTTGATTCGTTGAATTCATTGCCTGAATTGATAGAAGAATATTAACATGTTTTATTGAAAGATGATAGTGATTAATCATCACTGTGGAGAATGTCATTTAAAGGTTTAATAGAACTTTGGAGAAAAGTATGTAGCATAAAAAATAGTATTGATTAATACTACTGACGCTATGACTTTATGGTTGTGGTTGAAGGATTTTACTTTTAACCACTAAATTTCAGGTTGAAACCTTGCAAATCCGAGCCATCTTAAACGGCTGCATGACGTCAGTTTGGCTGTAAAAGGTTGGGTCTGTAATGAGTCAGTGAGAGCAGCTTAGCTGTATGCCTGTGAAAACTGGTCTTTCCAAGTTGAAAGTATTAGAACGCTTTCTGTGTTTGACCAACGTTGTGTCTGAATGATTACTGACATTCAATGGTAACACCATATTAATAATGCGGAGGATCGGTAATGCGTGTTCGGGCACAGCAACGGTGTCACCATCTTGGAATACCGACTTCGACGGGGTGGACTAACCGGATGACATGTATTACACGAATGTCGTCATAGTGGATTCAATATCGTACATTAATTTGCTAATACTAGGGCTGGTCAGAAACAGCAAAGAGGTTGTCAGTGCATGATAAGGTATCGTAGCATAAAACAGAACTTTACAACACTGGCATCTCTTGGTCCTTCACGACTCTACGGTTAGGGTCCTAGAGGTGGTGCAGCTCAGTGGCCTAAAACATTTACATGTCTCAGAGTAGAAGCCAGTGGTAGAGTCCCGGCCTTAATTTGCTTTTAATTTCCTTATTTTATTTTTGCCATGTTGTTTATTTCAGTGAATTTATGCTGCATGATATGAGGCGTAGTTATATGTACAAAACAGATAAAGCTTTATTGATTAGTCACACCTTATATATGTATGGGATAGCTATACAGCGTTAGCACGACTAACAAGTTTCAACTAATATAATAATGACATCATTTTTAATATAAGTTTGGGTAGAGATATAAAGCTCTATATTTTGACATACTGCATACTGCATATTATTCTTTAAAATGTTACCTGAACTAAATCATCTTATTTGTTTAACGCCTAATTACCAACAGTCTAGTGTCCTGATATTCTTAAAAGAAATATACCCATTTAAGCATTAATGATCTGTTTACACTTTGAATCGATTTATTCAGTAAACATTAGTTTACAATACATCATCTGTTTGAAATAATAATCTACTCTATCGTTTAATGCCTCTTTTCGGTGTAAGACTTTCGGGACAAATAATGTTAATCCATATTTTAGCCAGCCTAACTAGATTAAAGGATTGTTTTGCTTTACTATGGATTTAGCAATAACCCATACGTTTATCTTCATTCTAAGATAGAGATATATATCAGTAGTTTCGACTACCTGGTTGGGGTCCGCGAGATGACAATAATCGATGGTTAGAGACCTTGAATGACATGGCTCAAAATCGTTCGCAATGGCGCCGGTGCATTTATTCTTTGTGTTCTCTCAAATCCTAATCTTCTGGATTCTTCAACCCCTCTAGTTTTGACTTTCTAAACTTTTCTCATTGAATCATACTTCTTGAATAATATCTTCTAATCCTAACCTCTCCGATTACTTCTAATACCCTTACTACCTCTTCTACTATTGGATTTGATTTGACAATTACATCTCTGTGCTGATGCGGTATGGCGACATGAATTGATGTACTTACGTACGAAGTTCTACGTTGCATCTGACTGACTGACTGATATCAGTAGTTTAAATATTTAATTTCTGACCATTTGACTACATGTTTTATCGTCACCCTCGATACATTGATCAAATAGCATGTTCAACCAACAGCGATCTTTAAACGCTTCTCACACCTACTGCGCCCCCCCTTAAGCTGATCGTACTTTGCTGAAAAAATCAATTCATTCTCTTCCGTTAGTCATCTGACAAGTAATAGCCAATTGTATCGTTTCAAAATCAAGATGAAACTAGTAATACAACATTCATTTTTTTTAAGAAAAACTAACACAATAACAACCTACTTGTATTTCTCTGCGTTGAAGATGAATGATTTTCACCATTCAAACAACTCGACGTATTGTTGTCAACATTTTTTGGAGGGTGGCCTAGATCCGTGAGAAATTCATGTAGAAATGTACGACTATGTAAAGGTCCAATCCAAATAGGACCAAATACATGAAATTTTGAACCGCATTCTATGCATTGAGGTCCTATAGGTGGACCATGAGCTGCAACAACTATCTTATTAGTATTAACTGCTTCACCAAGTGGTTGTATGTGATAAGCCTATAAATTATAAAAAAGTAATTAAAAAGTTTACTATATTTCTTCAACGAGATCTGTAAATCAATTGATAATGTACAAATTAAGTAGATATTCTTATCTTTGGAAACATTTCATTTTGGATTCTGTTAATGTAAGGTTTTTTATTCAAAGGGGATTACTAATGATCAACTTTTAAATACGGTGACAACAAAATCCTTTGAATTCCCCATCACCTCTATCTTTTTCTTTAAAAATTTGTCTCACTGAATTATACTTCTTGAATAATAATTTTCGAACCCTGAAGTTCTCCATTACTGCTAATACTTCTGCTATCTCTAACACTATGGGACTTGTATTGACAGTTGCGTCTCTGTTCTAGTGTGGTATGGCAACATGAACTTACGAAGTCCTACATTGTAACTGACGAATTGAGTGCAATTAAGCAATACGTACCAAGTGCTACGTTGTTGTTGACTGAATGAGTTATGTGAAGATTCCCTTCAGTTTAGGATTGTTCAACTGATAAATTAACTATACTTGAACAACTATTGAGAATCAGGGACTGGTGGACCATTGTCTCGACCTCAGCAACGGGCATCTACATTCTTATTATCATCCGACTCGAAATTCTAACCAGCTTCTGTTAATGACATACCATAAATAAGGCTGTATAACTTTAGTCAATGACATCAACGAAAAGAAAGTTCTCTTCGTAGAAATATCTTTATTCAATCTAGCGAATCATTCGCTAATTTAACATCAGACTATCCAGAAACATGTCCACAGCTTATCTTAAAATTTTGGATACTGTTCAAAATATTTTCGGTAATCAATCCAATTAACAAAATAAAAAAAAATCCTAACTACCAAACATTTAAAAATAATGTTAAAAACAAAATGTGCATAATTGTACAAATATTACTCACTAAGCAACCAGGACAAACATAACAAATACCATGTTTAGCTGCAATAGCTTTTACAGATAATCGACTTGACCAAACACGTACAAATACACGAGCATAGAAATCCACTGATAATGATAGTAAAGGTTCAATAATTTTACCATGTCGACTAGCTGCCAACTGCATAGCATTTAAAAGTATTCGTAGTCCCTTAATCAGAAAAAAAAAGAAAAGAAAATAACATTGATTACAAAACATGGTTATCATGGTGAAAGACATTTTTAGCTTGGTTTCAGTCAGTCAGTCAGATGCAACGTAGAACTTCGTACGTAAGTACATCAGTTCATGTTGCCATACCACATTAGCACAGAGATATAATTGTCAATTCAAATCCAATAGCAGTAGAGGTAGTAAGGG